TCAAAGAAGAACTCACTGGCTTAGTAAAAGCACATTGGACACTATTTTAGGTGCAGTCCACTACGGTTCAAAAGGTGACAGATTGCGCTTCGCATCGCTGATAGTTACATGGAAAATAGTAAACAATCAACAATAGTAAACAGGCACAACGTTCTAGCTTCTTTTCCAAACATCACGAATGGAGGAAGTGTTACGTTCGGCAGAAATTCTCGCATGGTACACACGAAGAGGATTCGCATACAAGGCTATCGTATAGTGCTCTCATCTTGAGGACAACTCTTTCGCGACCGGCGCTGCCTCAGAAAGCTGCTATATGGCTGAAGTTAAAGAAAGATGCTTCTGGATTTCGCCTGAACCCATGAGTCGATGATATTACAGTAACCCAATTCAACTCACTTGTGATATTCGAACAAGATTCTTGTGGAATAATGTGGATTTGTCAAAAACTCGTATCAAAAATGGCAGGTACACCACTGCGAAGCAGATAGCCAAAAACTCGATGGCAACTAGGAGCCAAAATGTAAAATAGTTCAGTTCGAATGGTCGCGGGCTGACGAAAGTGAGAAGGAAGTTGAGCTCTCCAGCGGTTACTTCCATCTCAGCGTTTGAACACTGGAAGAAAAATGAGATACTACAGAAATTGTTGATGGACTCAATAGACGTCAATAGACCTAAAGAAGCAAAGTCACTTTAGCTGACCCGATTCATCCTCCTGGAATGGCATGATAATAATAATGCGGTTCTTACAAATAGGATACGAAAGCAAAACCCAAATATCAATTCAAAATACAGAAAACAAATATACTAACATTCTGCCCATTGGTAGTATTCCGGCGTTTTAAAAAACCGGAATTACCGTCATCCTAAGTTGGTAAAAGCAAATAATCGAGTAGTAAATCTCGATCCTCGATTTTTTAATTGACGCGCTATGTACAGTCCTCATCATTGCAGACCGGTGGGGCGGGTGAGCCGCGCCGCGTGTGACTCGGCTGTGATGACAGTCGCGTCACAGCCGAGTCACACGCGCCGCCCCACCGTCCCAATGATGGACACCATATGGAGACTGATCTCGAAGTTATGAAACTAAAGCGTGGACGCATTTGCAGTATGCGAAGACAAGGAATTAATACTTAATGGTGAGTGGAATGGTACATTACAATAAAATCGAGCCGACGAAAAAACAAATTATAGAGACAGCTGAATTCCACAAGATTGTCTGTTCCTCAAGCTACCATAAGTTTAGGGAACAAACACCTGCAGATAATAACCACTTTGTATCTGATCAGTTAGATTTCGATCACAAGCAACAACAGAGGCATTACAGGGCTGTGATACTTTAGTAGAAGAAATCGGCCCGCCGACATATTCACTCGCGATTACAGGTTATTGAGCAATGCAACCTTGTACATAATGTTAGCATTGGCTTTTGATTACTATAGGGGCAAACGAAAGTTCGCATGAAATATGGCTATGTGGAAACTGTTCAAAATCGTAAACTTCGGATTTCCATTGAAGATAGAGCTTCTTTCCATAAAGTGAGATACTGAGAATAGCTATGATTTGCTCATTCTTTCAAACAATCGTAAAAAATAACGTTCATGGCTTGGTTTCAAGCAACAGCTGCTTTGAGAGTTGGGGAACATTTCCGCCAAGGGTTGCATTTTTTTTATTTTTTGCCCGATTGGCAGTCAATGCACGCAATACTGCGCACATTAAATGGTGTACGCCATAGAGCTGACACTGGATGAATATCTGTATCTACCCCACTGTGATACGGGCTTAACTTCTGATTGTAGATACCACCATTCTCTCCCAGCCCGCTTCTTAGCACATTGACGACAGCGTGATACACATTCAATGCACGCATTGTGGGCCACGTGGGACCGCGCGAATTGTATACGAATCACGATCAACAAATTCATATCTTTCCCTAGTGCATGATTTTTTGTTTAGTTTCTCCTATTCATTCTATAGGCCAGTCCTTAGTAAACTCGTACAACATGTGGTCCATGGAATAATTTAGTACACATTAGTTCAGCAAAGCTTTCCTGTGGAAAGAGCACTATAAGCTTGAATTGGTTTGCTCCTCAACTTTGGAATGGTTTGCTGTTTAACTCTTCCCAACAAATACAGACAATTACAACATTAACAATGATGAAAAAATATAAGGTGAAGGATTCTGAATCCTATAGAAAACACGATTTGCGTTTTTCATAAAAAAATTGGTTACCGACAATTCGCACCGTTTTTCGACTCACCGCTCGCAGCCTAGTGGGCGGAGTCTCTCGCGGGGGCGGGGCGGGGTCTTTCCTGTCCTAGCGGACCTAATGACCCACTGGACGAGTTTTCCGCTTCGCCTGGACCCTGTAACGGCTCAAATTTCCAGTTGGACGAGTTTTCCTCCCTCAAAAACCGCGCTCTCGGACGAGTTTTCCGCCGCGTTTGTCGCGGCGGCGGGCAATGCGGTGGACGAGTTGTCCCGTCGAAAAGCGGCTGTTTTGGACGAGTTTTCACGGAAAAAATCGGCAAGGGGTTCCCCTTTGGACGAGTTTTCTGCCCGAGCACAACACGCTCAGGCGGAATTCAGCAAAAATCGGCTATTTCAGCCGTTTCGAGGGGAGCGATGCGAAAACAGCCTATTTCGGCCATTTCCGGGATGTGGCAGGTTTGGGCACGAGAATAAAAAAAATGTTTTCGGATTCGCCACATGATACGCGTGGGCGGCGATGCGACAAATTACGGTCATCTTGAACGCCTCCCATTGCCTCCGTGCAGAACAAGACACAACAGTAAGTCGATGGTGTGGTAACTTTCGAACGCCCTTTGCTCAGCATTCGTGTGGTATCATTTGGAGCGCGAACTCAGGACTCTGGAAAAACAGGAGTGGTCACAATAAAACGAGTTCCGGAACTGAAACTGTTAGTTCTACGACCAGGTTAGAGCCACGGGATAGAAGAAGTCGCGCCTGAGGTAACTCCCCCACCGTCCTCCCTCCTTCCGAATTGTGCATCTCGTCCTACCTGTCATCATACAAGGTATTCCCCATCCACTAGCCTTTGTTCTCAATTTGTACGACATACCCCTGGAACAACCAAGCGGACCCCCCCCTCCCCTAGTGGAACACTTCCAACGAATCTGTACCCTGTTCACAACACTCAAGTAGAGAAGAGTAAGTTGAACACTAGTCCACACTTGTTTTCATAGGTAGAGGACCGCTTAAAAACCTTGTCCCTAAGTGGGTGGGCATTTCTACTTGAAATTGCTATGCCACTCGAGGTTTTTAGGTGGAAATCTTTATTGTACGGCCTAACGTTTCGACTTGGTCGTCTTCTTCAGAGGCCTAAACGCGTTTCGAGGTTAGGAAATGAACACTACCTTACTAAGCGCCCAACCAACCCTAGCAGTTCCGATGGCGTGTTCGGAACTCAACCTGAAAGCCCACACAACACGAAGAGTGCACTCACCAAGCTTCCATCCAGTCCGCACGACGTGGATCCGCAGTCACATGCGGCTAGTAGTCACTAGGGAATTTCATTTTCGGCAAGAAAGGCGTTAAAGCGTTTTGGATTCCAGTCAGAAATGCTAGGATGAACAGCCGAGATGAGTGTCCGTCAGCAACAGATGACCTTCTGCCGTTCATACCGTTCTGCGAACTCTAAGTAGCAGTGCTAGGTGCGTCTCCTCACTTCTAGACGTATAAGGAGACGCTACAGTAAGTCTAATCTCTAGTGACTACTAGCCGCAGGTGACTGCGGATCTACAGTGGAAGCTTAGTGAGTGCACTTTTCGTGGCTTTCGGGTTGGGTTCCGAACACGCCATCGGAGAAGAAGACGACCAAGTCGAAACATTACGCCGTACAATAAAGATTTACACCTGAGAACCTCGAGTGGCGCAGCAATTTAAGCAGAATAAACAACGATGTCGAGGTTACAACAAGAGAGAACTCGGAGGATGGGTGGGCAATTTCTATGAGTTGCGTACCTTTCAGTAATGACAATTAGCGACCATGTCAGGCACTGCCGAGCCGAGTAAAAGAGGACAAGCTCGCAGACTGCGGACCGCACTCCGAGTACAAGCAAGAGAATTTCTTCGTTAGGGAGTTGCGAAGTGTGTCTTCGTGTGTTCTGTACAAACCTTTATTTGATTTATGGCTTTTGGAATAAGCAGAAGAAAATGAATCAAATAACTCTTCATTCTATGTTTTGAAAGCAGCAGTAGAAGTTAACAATAATCGACACTGTATGTTATTAACTAGCAAATAACGTTTTTAAAAACGTCTACAATCCTCGGGTTAGCTATTAACTACAGAGATCGAGTTAGCAAATCTATCCTACTGATTCTCAATATCTTCGTCTTTTGGAATCTATTCAAGAAGAAAGAACGATATTCCTTAAAAAATGTAATAGAAATCAGAGCGCTAAACGCTGGAAATAACGTCCACAGTGTTTGGCTGATGTATGTAATAGTCGTGTTGGAAGTACTGCCCAAGTACACCAAAACATACTGCCCGAAAGAAGGGGTGTGAAGCAGAAGAACAGGACACGCGGTCTAAAAATCATCAGTATATTTACCCAATCAGTAAATGTCGCATAATGTTTCTACATATGTGTATGTGGAGCATCTGGATATTGGTCAACCGTGTCAGTCTCCTTCCTCCTCCCTTTCTTCTTCCTCTTTTCTTTTTCTTTTCCATGATTTCTTCTCTCTCTCTTCCTTTTCCTTCTCTTTTCAACAATGAGAAAGTTACTCTGGACCTTCGCAGCAAGAGCATTTTCGGTTGACAGAAGCTCTATAATACGTCGGGAGAGAGGGGGGGGGGGAAGGACAGACTACAGTTTCGGGCCATGAAACCCTGAAATTTTCAGTGGAAGGGAGCTCCGAAACGAGTAGGCCACTTTCATACTCCAATATTTCACAAACAGTAGGTTGTTTGACATACCCCTGGGCTCATTCCATCATTGGAAATCATGCGCTTTATAGCGATGATTCAACATTTTACAGTGTTCCTCCTTAGGCACATAAAACAACGGAAGTACGGAAGTGGAAGTAAGCAACCTCTTCTCCACAGATAAACCCATAACTAATGATGAGATTGTTTGGTTTCCGGCGCTGGCCAATCTCTTTCATGATATGCCACGCAATTGCCTCTAAGACCCGTTGCTTTTTGAATCCGATTGACCTATGAAGGGATTTGAGAGCAGCCGATGCCCAGGCTAGTATTCTTTCATCCCGCTGCCGGATGTTAGAAGGCTCATTTGGCCTGGAAGGAAACCGATCTGAATTCTGACTTTGGGAAGGGTACATGGTGAGCGTGCCGCTGCCCTTACCCGCGCGCGCCAACTAATGACGATGTGTGCTGTTCCCGTAATAATATCATGGGCGCAGCTCGGCTACGGGAGGGGGGGGGGACATTTCGCTCTTCTCTACTTCCCATAGCTGTTGTATGAGCTTACAAGAGCTGACAGGTTTCACCATGTGGCTCGACGAGCTTGCTCCAGCTTCACAAGAGTTCACAGGTTTCACCAGAGTGAGACTTGTAAACCGGAACTAGGGAAACAGCGAAAGTGCAAAATACCCCCCTCCCCACCCCACTCTTTACCGAACTGCACCATGACATCTACTTCGATACGATGAAATGAGCAACTCACCTGGATCATCATTAGGTTATTCATCCGACGTTGCATAGCTTTAGTTTGGCTGCTGTATGAAGAATTCTGCAGAGTTTTCTTGATTTGTAAAGCCCAAACGATACCCAGTGTTCCCATCAATGGCAGAGTAAGCATCGAATCAATAATTATAGTAAGAAGGCTCCATTCAAGTTGCGGCTAAATAGGAACAACCAGATGAAAAACCCTTGTCAATGCAATGGAAGTTTCGAAGAAGAAGGCAAAGCAATGATGGTCCTCATGAGTGCAATGGCCTCAATTTTTTGTAATTCCTCCGTAAGCACAAAATTTTTGCCTTCTCGCTCCATTAGCTTAACTTGATGGTAATGAATTGGGAGCGGCATTGACACACCACGACTGACTTCAGTGACAACGACTACCAACTCCGCCCATATTGAGCATAGGTCTGTGGTGCAGTCCTCTTTCATAGCTTGAAAAAACGCAATAGCTTGGCGCACTACATACACTCACCTTGACGCAAAAGCCGACAAAGGCTGAAGTGGTCAGATCAAGTCCACTTATCTCCATTATAGGCCCTTTCAGATGATCGATAATTTTAGGCGTTGGCCAAATAACAAAATATAGAAGCGCAGTCCAGTTTATCACGATCAAGGCATTAACTGCTAATACCAGCAGAAAACCTCGAGTAGACGTATAAAAATAGAAGAATCGAGGCCTGTAAGCAGTAAGCTGCGAATCGGGGACAGCTCGAAATCATTGCATATGTGATCAGTAGCACCCATTCAGGTCTGCAAAATGTTCCTTATTAAGTGAGACTAATTATGTCCGCGCTGACTATGTGGGCGGAGTCGGCGTCACCTATGCGCATTCTTCACCGGTGCGCTTCTCGTTCCTAATATGCTGAAAAGGCCAGGAAGGGTAGGTCTCAGACCTTCCCTCCCCCCTCCTCCCCCGCCCCTCCCCATCTAATCAGTAAAGACTGCAGGTGAAGATACACTCTGCGATCACCTGTTACTCACAGCTTCTCCCTTGCCTTAGTAGGTCAGTCCGCTATTTAAAAGGAATTTTATCGGTTGTGCCACGCTTGCAGGTCCAAAAGGAGAGGCGAGCCGTCAGTTGCCAATACTCAAAGGCTTTTTTGTCACTAGACCACTTTTTACCTCGCGTCATCCGCTTTTTCCGTTGTTCGGTGGTATTAAGCCCATCATGCCACGAAACAGATATGACTAAGCCGAGGGCGGCAGGTATCGCATTGCTGGTATAAAACGAGTAAGTCCGGATAACTCGTCTGAAGAGGCTGCCAGGTCCTTACTTATGATTTTTTTGATTTTTTTTCCTCTCTGCAAAGTCATTTAGCGACAATAGACTTGTGACTGATGGTCACTATCCGCGATATACATCGCAGGTTGTCTTTGATTTGGGAACTAATGACGCTTCACATCATTAATTGATTGGATATTACCGACCAATTTATCTATTATTCTATGCACGCATACAGAACCACATATAAGTGCTATAAAATAAACAATTACAACACATTTGTTTAGTTTCAGCGAGTATTCCGCGGATTGTTTTGATTGTGATCTCAGCTAGCAAAGATTTCCTAAGCAAAGTCGCTAAGAATACTCTGAGGTACCTGTATTAGTCTTAAAGCCGGCCTATGGAAGTGCACAGAAGGATGTCCAGAGCGATTTATGGCGGTTGAATCTAAGGGTGCCCAGCGCGATTTATGGCGGTTGGATCTGTCGCCAAGTCTACCGACCGCTGTCGAGCAACTGCCAGCTTTTTCGACATTATTAGTTTGCTCATCCCCACCCTGAATGGCGGGTATTAAAGAAAGTCCCCGCGCTGGAGCAACTCGTAAGCGTCTTTGATTGTACAAATAGTGTGGCACTCGGCCTGAGGTTATGCTTTTTTTGCAGCCCCACCAGTGAATGACGGAGGCGCTGTGGCCCTCTCAAGAGGCATCACTGACGCCTCCCTAGTTGTCCCACCCATCAAAGTTCAGAGGGTATTTTCAGTCAAAAGTCATTTTTTACAACACATTACCCGTTTTTTTGCGTGTTGGATAGTATCAGTGTTGGATGACGCGGAGAAACGACTTTTGAGGTAGTGGTAGGATATCGCTTTGCTGGCATAAAACGAGCAGGTCCGGAGATCTCGTCCATATAGGCCACCAGGTCTTTACCTAAGGTGTCTTCCATGGCTTTTTTCCTTTTTTCTTTAATTTATAGTTATTTTGCAACTAGAGGTTAATAATTGAGCGCCACGATCGCAATGTCATCTCGGGGTTGGCCTTTGAAAGCATAGGTCACGATAATTTGGTAAAATCTAAAATGTTAGAAGGGGTGCTACATAGTGGGGAAAAGGGCGAAAAACAAAAGCAGAAAAGCCTTGATTCTACACGGCTTAGGAATTAGTTTCGGACGAGTTGCCCGTCAGCGTCTTCCCAACAACCGCTTCGGTAGATACGACTGCAATTACGTACTCATATGCCAATGCAGCCCCGCAGCCGCTTTATATCATTCTATACGCCTCATATTATGTTTCCCCAATGAAACGATAGAGTATCGATTGGACATTTGTGGGTGGGCGGGCACGTGGGGAGTCCTGGTCGGCAGCCACCTCTGCTCAGAGGCACCGAATTCTGCCCTGCTAGGCGTATTAATCCTACACATCTCGGAGATCTATCGTGCACTTGCGCGTAACCATAGGTAGGCTGTAGTAGTAGGGGAAGAAAAAAAATCTAAGAAGGTTATGTGGTCGGGGAAAGCTAGATTTTGAGTCGAGACGTTCTTAAAGGCAGCGTCCGCGATCAACCAAAGTGAAAAACCCTCCAATGAAAACGAACGCGGAGTGCGCAATCATAGCGGATATCCCACTCTTGCGGCTCGAAATCGATTGGTTGACGAGGGCGGAGTCAACAAGGCTGAGCTGACGCCTCCTTCCCTGTTAATCCCGCCCCGACTGGTTAACAGTTATCAGTGCTTGCTGGCATTGATAAACGCTAAGTTTCTGGAGTTCCGAGCCGGCGACGTGTATTGGAGAACTCACCAAAGGTCTGCGAAACTCGTCCACATGCCTTAAATTTCATAGGGTCTTATTTCACGCTCTTCCACACCTTTTTCCTACTTTTTTTGATTAGTGCTTCATTGGCCACCTGTTCTAACAAATTTGACCCCTGCCAAAGTCCATCGCGGGCGCTGTCTTTGAAGGGAACAGCAGAGGAGGGAGGTGGACATGGGGTGCTGAATGGTAATTTTCCAAACCGCCATGACGTGCTCGGACGCACTTGCTCACCACCACTAGGCGTGAGTTGACCTTATACATGGGAAAGTAATACTATAGACTTTGGAGAATGAACTGGTTGTGGATTTAAGGTTGAACGGATTGAAAATTACTTGCATATCTGAAGGTATTTATGAAAAATACTGTTAGCTGTAGTTAAGATAGAAAGCCAAAAGTTAAGAAGGAATAGTTCCGCGAGCAAAAGATTCAACGCCCATGAAGTGATTGCTCCAGAGGTGACCATCACCCAGCAGAAATTCCACGCTATGGCTCTCTGGAATATACATTATATTTTTATGAATTCGGACAAAAGTTAGCGCAGTTCGGCTCGGTGGGGGCATTTTGCTAGTTCTTATCGATTCTGACGATGCCGCGTGGAGACCTGTAAACTCCTTCAAAGCCATGCAACAACACGAGCTTCGTTTTCACTCGACAAGAGTCTACAGGTTTTGCCGAGGTGGGACGTGTAATTTGACAGGAACTAGCAAAAGAAACTGATGAAGCAAAATGTCCCCTCAAGCCGAACAGCGTCCAAAGTTTATGCACTCACCGGTACGCTGACTAGAGCGCAGGCTGAGTAGATGATATTCTGTACGGCAGTAATTGGAACAAAATACTTAGAAGTGTTGATTTTTAGTGGGCGATATAAATAGAGAAATAAGAGAAGAGAGTTCAATACGAGAGCGATCGAAGGTACAACTTTGTTCATAATGAGCAGGTAGTCTGCCGCCATCGAGAACATCAAGAACTAAAAGTCTAATATTGAACATTTAGACACGACTTTTAAGGTTGCCCAGAGCTTTCACAGAATCACATAAATGAACTGAAGAACAACCGAGAACAGAATTTGCAGAGGCTATTGTGACTCACGTCAGGGAGACTACAGCGATATCGTTTCAGGGGAGTACATACTGGGTTGCTATGAAACCACCCGTCATTATAAGAAAGTTATGAAGAGTTATAATTATGAGATTTTCGATCCTAATTATTCTCCCTGATCAGTGTGGTCGTTTTCTATTGATAGCTCGTATTTGAAAACACTATTGTTAAGTCAGAGCCGCCGTACCGCATATATTCTTGTCTGCCGAGTGCCCGGTTATGATGAAGTGATGATCCATACGGGAAAAGTTTTCAGAGAAACGCAATATACCACCTTCAGGAACGAAAAATTCCTTTTATGCAGGATTTTGAGTCTGTTCCACAAGGGGTGGAGGTGCTGGTTCTTAACTTTTGTGAAGATTCACTTGTTATCCCTGCAAGCTAGGGAGCATGTGAAGGGGCGATGATTGGAGCGGAATTATGCCGACCTTTTTCACCTATGATGTTATCCTCGCCCGCAACAATTGGTGAAAAAGGCTGTCCTGGCTGCGCTGAGATCCACGTCCCTTCACAAGGGCTTCGATCAAGGCATGTCGTAGAATGAGGATTCCGAGCGAAGGAAGAGGGCGTATTCAGTGGCTAAGGGAGGGGATGCATTTTCCACCGAGTAAATGCTTCCCGTTGCAGACTTTTCTCGGTTTTACCTGTTCGGAGTGCATTTTATAAACCTCGCCCGCTCTCCTTCCCCTACCAGTGGGGAGAAAAAGAATTGAATTTTGGAAGATCTCCCGGAGAGTGGAATTTCAAAACTCCAAAAAAATTCAGGAAGACGGTAGCTAGGATGTGTATCGGAAAAAGGAGGAACCACTGGTGGGGGCTCGCATTTTGCAAAATTTTCTTGAACGGCAGGACATGCTCTTGCTCACAGGAATAATCATCGTATAATATAAGATGACAGTTTGGCGACGTGGGAGCGGGGGAGGGGAGGCATTCTGCACTTTCGCTGTTTCACTAGTTCCGGCTCAGTCTCACCCTGGTGAAACCTGTGAGCTCTTGCAAAGCTGGAGCAAGCTCGTCGAGCTACCATGGTATAACCTACCTACTTTTGTAAGGACATGAAAAAATACTCAAGGTGGGTCAATAGGTCGAGTAGCAAAAGTGCCAAATGCCCCTACCGTCGCCAAACTGTCACAGGAATTTATTTGCTGGAAGTGCAATGAGCGTAGCAATCCGTGAGGAGTCTAAGGCAAGGTTATATTTGATATTTTGTAAATCAATTTACTTTACGCTTCCCAAAAGACATGCCCAGTTTTTTTCAGCGAAAGTGCGAAATAGACCCTCTAAGTCGACTAGACAACTCCTAGTAATCGTTTGCTAACAGCGCTGAGTAAAATTCAAGAGTGATTATTTGCAACCAGCCTACCGGACGAACATGAAATGGGAACGACGAAACGCGAGAGGTGATGATACACTGAACAGCGCGCAAGAGGGAACGGAAAACGATGGGAGTGAGAGCCCAATGGAATTAACTGCAAGAAAGAGGGCCGAGTGAGGAATCAAAGGAATTGGGGACAAAGTATGAAGTCTGTTGCTCCTGTGTTTTCCGCAAATTCAACAAGCATCGAATCCTTTGTTTTCTCAATCCCCTCGTCTAGTCTACGAGCGGCAGTTGTAGGAATGCCTCTGATACACATAATTTTCTGTTATAAACTGCGTCGAGCTCGGGCAGTAAGTATGGGTGCTCAGAACGCCAATTATTTTTTAATGCTAGTCTACACCTAGACGACCAAATGAAATAGCAATGTCAGGAGATTCTTGTTAACAACAATCGGTCAGGATAACAGTTGCGCCGCTCCGAACAAAAAACAGTGAATACTTGCTTCATTATAATAATTATATAGTTATTTCCAATTAGTGGACAGTTGGTTCGAAATACACATTGGATGCACCACGATGTTCGTTTACTTCCGGAGTTGCTGTAACTGTTCCAATTTTCAAGCTCAGCGGTATAATCGACCGAAAGCGATTGAAGACCAAGAGCGACCATGAAAATTGCCATAAAAACATCGAACCAATCTAAATACTTTTTTTTGATGAAAGCAAAAACCAGAACAGTGGAAATCAACAATCATCAGCACTTACATCGCTATCATAACATTCATTGATGCCCAACAAATCTGGCTTAGTTGTGCCTCGCTAGCGAATACTTTTGCAGCCATTACAAATAATATGCTCACAAACGGAGCACCCACAGCAACCGCCACTGAGAGCTGCATTAAAATCTTAACATAGTGGCATTACTGGAAGTGTTGGAAGAAAAAACGACAAATGCTGATGCATTTTTCATCTTAAAGTTTCATCTTTGAGCGCTGCAACGCAATATTATTCTCGCAAAGTTCTCGCAATAAAACTTGCATCGCTTCCTTGTTTTGAATTTTTCTCACTTGACATACAGTTTCCGTATCACCCAAATTATGGGTTGGCAGTGTTCCATGCTGTTTACATACAGGGGGGGGGGCAAAAAAGACTTTTTGCCTGGGCGTGTCAGTAAAGAATACGCAGCCAAGAGAGACGTAGATACAGTACCAGGGCGGAAAAGCAGGTTTTCGTCCATCACCTTCAAGTACACCAAAATATGAAACCATCTACAAATGCAGCCGAACTGAAGAAAGGCGTGAAGAATTCACGTCTCCAAACAGCTGCGAAACTTCTTGTATCGAGTCACCCATGGACAGCTACCTGGAGACCAGTCTTGATCTGGAAGACCTCCAACATCGAGCAGCTCCGACAACGTCGCTACGGTCCAGGACATCATTCTTCACCGCAGTCGCCAAGGCGCGGGTTGGTGGTATGACTGTAAGTTTCTGGAATATAAGACCGATATTTTCTTTGTGAATCCCGTAGTGGAAGTGAAGGTGACGGTTACATAAAGGGACCGAGGAGAGTACCCTGCCTTCATGTCATCGCCTGTACCATCTTGGAAACTTCGTACTGCTACAGGATTGGGTGCCAGCACATGGAATCGAAGGGCGTTGGAAAAACTCTCGCCTACTTGGAATGGAAGGGCGTTGAGTACCTGAAGAAGAAGGGATATCTAATTGTCCTGAGTTAAAGGCACTTTCCGCAATAAACTAAGGCTATAAATAATGATAAAGGATAAAGTCTTCGCCGTTGATCAATCCCTTTGTGGGATGCGGCACGCATTCTACTTCCATTCAGAATCGTAGTGGCTTATTGAATGCGATGTGGCCTATACAATGACTTGCGGTGGCCAGCCGATGTACAAGTCAGTGTTTTATCCTCCCAGACGAATCTGGTACCAATTTACCGTCCCGGGAGTAGAAGGCTTGGTTGGCCTGGGCGGGAGTCGACCCTGGACTTGAACCTGGCGCCGCGTGAGTGGTAAGCGCGCCATTGTCACTAAACCACCTCCGCCTCAAAACTAAGGCTATGAACCTCTTAAATGTGTCAGATGATCCAGTAGGCGATTGTAGAGGTTGCACTGCATTTAAAACTTGGAAAATGGCAAGCAAAGTACAGTGAATTTTGATTTTAGGCCCAAGAAGGCTGATTTTTGGCCCAAGAAGGCTCATGCCGTCGCACCTTGCCCTTGCCGTCGTACTGATGCCTTTGTACAAGTGCAATGAGGACAGCCACACTGAGGAAAGTTTTTATGCTTTCTTCTTCACTTCTAAGGCGACTAGCATAATGCGCAGTCACGGGAAGTGCCTTTGAACCTCGTCAATTACCGCGTTCGGACGGAGCTCGACAGAGTGATCTACGAAGGCGGAGAATGTTGTTGAACTTGATGGTGGAAATATGCAGTCAAAATCTGATATAGTGTAACTTATTGCCTTGCAAGTCGAAGTAAGTGTCTTTTTTGACCTCTTCAGACTTCACTCCGGTGTACAGCATCACGACATGCGAAGTGGCGGTTTGAAAAACAAAGAATAGAGTACTACTAGCAAAGATAACAATAAATATACATAACAACATCTATAGAAACATAATATCAAAAAATAAATCAAGATTAAAGTAAGAGTAATTAGAAAAACGCAAGATAATCATAAAGAGAGATAGACGAACTAATAAAAAACATTGAGAAGTAGGGAAAAACCTCTACTACAAAAATGGATAAACATAACAGTGTTATCATAAAAATCAGAAATATAAAAACACCGACTCGACGTTTGGCAGAAAAAAAAGAATGGAACAGAAGAAAAGAGAGGAAAAAAGACCCACTTCGAGAAATTACGAAACAGGGTCTTTTTGCATAGACTCGATATGAATACATACTCAGGTGTCGCTGAACTTTCACGACCATCAAAATTTTGCGCTAAAGTACTAGATCGCTAACAGCGCAGTGTTAGCGATACATTGCTCTTTGTTTTCCGTAAGCGAAGACTATCAGCAATCGCGAAGAATTTTGATGCAATGGTTGCTTTGAACTTTGAAGGCGCATATATTTTCGACTGCTTCTGTATGTGTTGGTACTACCAATTCAATTTACGATCAAAGTTCGGAAATGCTGCAGTATTTGAGAGCATAACTGAATATCAGGTACGTTGAGCTTGCGCGAACTGATATTGGTCGATGGAACAGAGCGATTATCGACTGCTCTTTACAGAAAACCAAACCAAAACTCGGACCCGGACCACCGACGTCGATGGTCAGACTTCTTCGTGAAACCTCTGGTTTGGTGTTATTTATCATGGTGCACTAAGTAACGTCAATCCAGAGGTCTACTTGCCTGCTGAAGCGATTGTTGACTTGCAAAGACGAGTGCAGACTGTCTGCATGGCAGCGATCGTGAACTTCTCGAATTTGCTTCCTCCTCGTTTACTCTATTTTCAGGTGTTGCATAATTTTTCATAGTGCTTATGTACCTCTGAACTAGATCTTCATGTCATTGAATTCTTAGATTCTGGTCCCTTTATTGAAATTTTTCTCGATTATGTTGGCAAGGCTATGTTCTTTGAGATAGCCTGAGTGGCTTCATGAATTCAAGATGATTGTCAATTCCAAGGAGAACCTACCTTCATCACTTTGAGATTTTCCGTCAGCTGAAACTTCTTGCTAAGAGTATAGATAACATTGTTGCGCTTCACACCACGATTGATATCACGTAATTCGAAGAAGTTTCGACGAAAGATAGTTATATAGGCTATGCAACAGGTAATGAAGAATACAGTTGAAGTAACTGCTAGAAACATGACGGTGAACGTTCCTGAAATTAGCTGAGAGATTCTCATTCCGAGGCATCTTCAAATTACTATTGTATTAGGTTGTCCCAGAAGTTCGTGACCCTTTTTAGAATCTCGTATCAAATCTTCCCATAACCATTTCGAGACCAGTTATGTGGTCTATTGAAAGTGTGTTAGGTAACCATCCACTGCTTCTTCACCGTCCCTCGCAGTCGCTGTTGTCACATGCAAAACGATAACTGACATTCAGCGTTTTCGACACACTTCGCTATATAAATCTGCACCAAGCCACAATGCGACTGGAGCCACAAGCGGCATTTCTCTGAGTTAGGGCCTGCTACTACCTTTCATGGTACGACGTTGAAAAAAATTGATCGCTTTCGCTCTTGACTTCTACCTGTGAGAAGAACTTCGTCGGAGGCCGCTATTTGGACCTATTGTGCTCGTTGATTAAAACTACTTCGTACAAATCAACTGGCTATCTGGGCCTCGTTCCCTTGAAAGAGTATTGGCGTTCGGTCAAGATTTTCTCACGAGTTCACCAGTATTCATAGGGAAGCTCTTGGAGTATTGTCTACAACTTCTCCCCGCCTCCTGCCGTTTGGGGCGGTTGGCGTGTAAACTGAGTATGGTATCTCTAGGAAATCATCCGGAGCGCTAGGTTTATGCTAGATCCCCCAGAAAGGGCAGGGCCGATCGCACAACCTTATCAATCCAGTAGGGCGGTGAGACTGTTTGTGTAGCGGGGTTTCTTTCTCTCCTCCTCAAAGGTAATTTCTTCTTCCGAGTGGTAACAGCGAGCCCTATAATCAACTGTAAAACCCACCATTTGGTCCCACAACTGAGCAGTGTTTGTTTACCCAACCTCAGATCAGAGTCACACGTTTCGAAAATGACACTGCTCGAGGCCCTGAAGCTTAGCTGGGAAACTCAACCACAGTCTTCGTGTAGCCCTGACTCAGCTCTTTCCGATCGACATGCAGAATAATCCTTCCGGCCGCGAAATCGTTTTGGGTACAAAACATACGTTTTCTGGAACTGACCAGCGCCTTTACGTCGGCACGGTGACCCAAAAAGCTCTTAAAGCACGGTCACCACTTTTGCTGCGTGGTTGAACAACACAGCTGCCGATATGCATATATATGTTGATCAAAATGCTTCTTACTCTAATAAACTTGACATGAAAAAAAAGTTCGGAAGTGTCACGAATTTTCGGGACAATCTGATACATACTCTGTACAACAAAGCTGTGTGAACATAATCCGCAGGCGCTATCCTCATGGCGTTGCTCATGTGTCAAAACAAAAACCTCAGCGGTCATGGGTAGAGAACAATCATACCCTGGGCAGGCGCTGCATAGCGGTTTCCCCGAGGAAGGTGCCCTTATAAGGGCCCTATCAAGCCACAACTTTACGTCCCAAACGCCCGCCACGCCCGCCCGCCCACAAATGGACGACCGTTCCTGACGCTCGTATTCATTCATTTGCTAAGCAAATTATGAAGCGAAGGGATTGGTATGAAGCGGCCGTGATGCTGCATGCATATATGGGTACACATATGCAGCCGTATCTTCGGTAGCGGTGAAGATGCGTACGGGAAACTCGTCCGAAATCGATTTTCAAGTCACTGAGAACGGAGGCTTTTTCTTCGCAGGATTTTGACCGTTTCACTCCGTTCTTTCGCCATTTCCCCACTATACAGCGCCCTACTAGCATTTCAGGCTAAGTAGGAAACCATCGTGCCAACTGCCTTTAAACGTGTGACTGGTCCTCCATACGGAAACGCGTATCTTCAACAGTAGTATCTACATAGGGTTTGTTCATGTGGTTAATACTATGACACAGGGGATGCTACGACTACGACACACCCTTGTCGAAGTAGCATATCGTGAAAAAGAAAAAGCTTGGCTATGGTCTGATTGGGACCATTGCTTAGAATTGTCAGCTACTATCATGTTGTCTTGGATACTGTTTCATTGCATCAATTTGTTTGTGTTGGAATAATGAGACATGTACTCACCCATTAAGGCGCAGGCAGTATTTAATGCCGCTGCTATATAGACTGAAGGAATTATAGTTCTGTAGATCCATGATCTAGGACATTTTTCATAGTCGGCGACGAACTTTGAAGCAAAACCTCTTTCGATTATAGCCGAAGGCAGATATAATCCCATAACAGTAACCGACCATGAGCGAACAAAGCATGCTGCCGCAATGGTAATGAGAACCAATAGAACTTCCTGGAAAAAATCTGTCTGTCATCCTGGAAAAAAAGAAACCAGCGGGGCAGGAGGCATGCAAAGTCCAATGGAATAATTGTGGACGGAAGCTGTTCAAATCACAGGAAGAAAACCCGATACCTAGTAGAGATGCCGAAGGGAGACATACCATGGGGCGATGGGCAGCGATAAGCTATTTTCTAGCGACTATTTTCTAGCTAGATGGCGTGACATTGGGGTGGCGTTCTCGAACCGAAGGTAACGCTGCAATTTTCAACTACGACATTGGAGGTGTAGAATGATCTCATGATGCGGAAAAGTTAAAAGAGTTGTCCAAATTTAGCGAAATGCGGCTCCATGTGTGGTTATGGTTCGACTGATGTACGAACAAAACGTGAAAGTGCACGTTGTCTTGAGGTTATCGCCCAGCTGTATCATATCGTATTATCTCTTCCAAGTCACTGTTACCATCAGGACCACTATCATCCCTGAGCTTCACATAGTCACCTCCAAACCTCCCTGCTACATCAATGCCTTGACTTGGACGAGAACTGTGAAAAACTTGAGCTTAGTTGCCGCAACTATTTCAACAGTCTGTCCCCTCACCTTTCATTAAGTGCCCCTTATCAGTAGCCTTCCTTAGACGTCAGTTGATCGCGAACTGTACGCGAGTCAGGTGCTTATGGAGATGTCGACGCGTTCTCCCGTCGCGGCACATGATACGGGTACTAGTAAAAAGTGACCAAGAAAAAAAAGAGCTTACTCATTGCGTTACCTTCTAATCTTAATAAACCAACTTCATAGAAAAACAATATAATGCGGGATGATACATTAGTATAATATGTGATCAAAATAGCCTTAAAATCTTTCATCAATCGATTTTCATCAAGGAACGTCAAACATTGCCAAAGTGCAGTTCAGCAAGAGGACATGCACCCTTATGAGCACCATTAGGCACGATAGTGGTAGCAACCTGTTTTAGAATTCGTGTAAATTGTGAGCGCTAGCATCTATGAAATGTTCTGAGAAACTTTCAGAAAATTTAGTTTTGTATGTTTTATATTGCTTCTATCGTTTCCATTAGGTTTAGGCTTGAAATGCCAAATAAAATCAATATTCACTGCTGCTAGCTGCTCTCATGTGTGAAAAGTTCAGTGATTGCGGGCATTGAAGATCAACACAAGGACTAACGACAGTGAACAAATAGTTCAGGAATTTGAGAAAGGGCGATTTCCAGCTTCCGTTTTGCTCTTCTAAGTGGGCTGAAGAGCTTGCTGTTTCGCTGCGCTCCGGAGGTAGACAGAAAGTAGTGGACGACGGTGGAATAGCAACGTAAGCTCATCGGGATTGTTGTTTTTCTTGATCTGCACATCGGCCAGGGATTCGAAGCATTTTTCAGAATCTTCGCTTAAAAAAAGATGTCCGACTAACAGAGATGCTTCCTTCCTTTTAGCGTTCAATTGGGCACTTCCGCAGTTGTAGAGCTGAACCACTTCCACTAACTGTAAATGCCTGGCAATGAAGGCAAAGACCCGAAGTTTTCCACGCATACGACCGCCACTTTTTAGTTTGCTCAAGGTGAGACCTTGATCTGAAATCATCTCGAAGAAAAACTCACTGGCTTAGTAAAGCACAATTGAGACACTATTTTAGGTGCAGTCCACTATACGGTTCAAAAGGTGACAGATTGCGCTTCGCATCGCTGATAGTGACATGGAAAATAGTAAACAATCAACAATAGTAAACAGGCACAACGTTCTAGCTTCTTTTCCAAACATCACGAATGGAGGAAGTGTTGCGTTCGGCAGAAATTCTCACATGGTACACGAAGAGGATTCGCATACAAGGCTATCGTATAGTGCCTCTCATCTTGAGGACAACTCGTGTTTCGCGACCGCGAGTTTGCCTCAGCAAGCTGCTATATTTTGGTTGAAGTTAAAGAAGATGCTTTGGATTTCGCTGAACCTATGAGTCGATGATATGACAGTAACCCAATTCAACTCACTTGTGATATTCGAACAAGATTCTTGTGGAATAATGTGGATTTGTCAAAAACTCGTATCAAAAATGGCAGGTACACCACTGCGAAGCAGGTAGCCAAAAACTCGATGGCAACTAGGAGCCAAAATGTAAAATAGTTCAGTTCGAATGGTCGCGGGCTGACCCAGTTGAGAAGGAAGTTGAACTCTCCAACGGTTACTTCCATCTCAGCGTTTAAATATTGGAAGAAAAATGAGATGTAACAGAACTTGTTGATGGACCCAATAGACGTCAATAGACCTAAAGAAGCAAAGTCACTTTAGCTGACCCGATTCATCCTCCTGTAATGGCATGATAATAATAATGCGATTCTTACAAATAGGATACGAAAGCAAAACCCAAATATCAATTCAAAATCGCAAAAACAAATATACTTGGCATTCTCCACTTTGTAGTTATTCAGGCGTTTAAAAAAAACGAGTTACCATTACTTTTTTATGGTTGGTAAAACAGGGGGATAGTAATCTCAATCTCGATTGTTAAAGTTTCAACGCAGTATATATGGAGACTGATCTTGAAGTTATGAAACTAAAGCGTGGACGCATTTGCAGTATGCGCAGACAAGGAATTAATACTTAGTGGTGAGTGGAATGGTACATTACAATAAAATCGAGCCGACGGAAAAACAAATTATAGAGACAGCTGAATTCCACAAGATTGTCTGTTCCTCAAGCTACCATAAGTTTGGGGAACAAACACCTGCAGATAATAACCACTTTGTATCTGATCGTTAGATGACGATCACAAGCAACAACAGAGGCATTACAAGGCTGTGATACTTTAGTAGAAGAAATCGGCCCGCCGACACATTCAGTCGCGAATACAGGTTATTGTGCAATGCAACCGTGTACATAATGTTAGCACTGGCTTGAACTATGGCTGTGGAGACTGTCCAAAATCGTAAACTTCGGATTTCCATTGATCATAGAGCTTCTTTCCTATAAAGTGAGATACTGAGAATAGCTATGATTTGCTCATTCTTTCAAACAATCATAAAAAATAATGTTCATGGCTTGGTTTCAAGCAACAGCTACTTCGAGAGCTTGATGAACATTTCCGCCAACGGTTGCAATTTTTTATTTTTTGACCGATTGGCAGTCAATGCACGCAATACTGCGCACACCAAATGGTGTACGCCATAGAGCTGATCACTGGCTGGATATCTGTATCTACCCCACTGTGATACGGGCTTAACTGTCATCGTTGATGTTGTACATTGTAGGTACCACCATTCTCTCCCAGCCCGCTTCTTAATAATGACCATCTACCAACGTCCAGCGCTTATCACAATCTCAAAACACTACCATTTTTCGAGTGAGGAGTTCAGCTGCCAAAAAACGCTTCGTTGGTGACATTTTCAAAACGACAACGAAAACTTTCAAAACTTTAATTGAGCATTTTCTCATATTCACTTCTTTTGTAACTCTTATCGCTCGTCACTGGCAAACATCACTGTGTCCCTACTTTTTGTCGAGATGCGAATATCAAGCGGTTGGACTGATTCAGATTCTTCTGCAATGCGAAAGAAATGAAACGTGCTAACTCACGGGAACAATGATGATAGCAGAAACATCATTACCTATAAGCAATTATCAATAGACCCACTTCACACCATTTATCGCTTGCTAGGACTGAATCCCTAGTGGTGTCGTGATACACGCGACCGAGTGTCCCACCCTTGCATCCATATCATTCTGAACTTTCTGCGCTGGAGTCAGCGTAATTTATAAATTTTCGGTTTAAAACTACGACACTCACACACAACACACACATGCACAGACAAACCCAGAAAATTATCTATAGCAGGGTAGCTCTGTAAGTAAAATACCATCCTCTATAAAAAGGCTACAAGCGCAGTGAGGAATGATGAAAATAAAGCAAAATTGAACGATGCAAAAAGAAAAAGCTCGAACGGAGAGCAAGAATCTCGAACGGAGAGCAATAATATGTATTCGATCACGAGCGACGGTTGTAGACGATGACCAGCGCAGAGCCAACTTCTCAGTTCAGTCGCTAATAAAAAAGGATTCAGGGAGCAGGGCTCGCAAGAGTGGCAGTGTGACCGTGAAGAAGATAGAAGAATCCAAGTAATAACTTCCTCTAATAGTATTGCTATAACCCTCGACAGCAACCTGCATTAGTCGGCTAAGATGCCATCGCTACAGGATTACACAGAACTCAAGCAAACATGGTACAATGACCTGAATATCAATCCACTTGGTTGCGTCCCAACAGAGTGACTGAAAAATAAGTTGCTCCTCGTAAAAAATGGCTTAGAAAAAATTGGATTTTTCACATAGGAAAACGTTCGCAGAGCCATGGACATATTTCAGCTATAATGGTTCTCGTGTTGTTGACGACTATGCTAAAAGACGCTGCCTAACGCATGCAACAGCAATGAATTCTGTTGCCTGGAATCAGCCCAGACTTGGTAAATCTCTTGGGTGAATTCACTTTGAAAAAAGCTTGTGTGGCCCCATATTAAACTGACAGCAGCAAAAGCGAACAATCGACGACTTGTTCAAAAGCTGCGGATATGAGTTACTGTTTGCTCATACTTGCCATCTTCCGACTATCACTTCTGTAAGGCACAGAAGCACCACGTGAAAGCTTGAAAAAAATGAATGTTGACGTTCTTGCTCCTTTCCTAACAACGACAGCCTAGTTGCAGCCTTTTCATAGCTGGTGTTTTTGATGGCGGTTTTGAAAGATCGTTCTGGGGTCATCAGTTCCGTTGACCTCGTGATCAGAATATTAGGATATTATGAAGTAAACCGACACCTTTCTTTTACATGGCTAAGGAACATCTGGCAGGGGATCCATTCGGAATTTTCGCTCATGCTTCTATAGGGGGCAAACTCTGGTGCGGACAAATTATTTGCGAAGTCGTGAGGTTTGTAGTACTTAAATAGCACAGCGAAATTTCTCTAAATATTTGAAAACCAATCTCTTTGACCTTGCCACGCCTGCAGATATTGAAATTGTTCTAAGAGGCTTCGTTATTTTGTTATACACTTGATTACAACCCAGTCCTTCAAATCAAGGTAGAATCCTTCCCTCGCACGAGGTAACCCGGTTACCTAGTAGGGGATGTTCCACTTCCACTGTTCAAAATTGAGTCCATCCTTACATTCTATAAACCAGTAACTTTGTGTGTCGGTTTGTATGTATGTATGTATGTCTGTCCGTCCGCAAAATGCTTCACGGGTTCGAGTTCGCTGGAGGAGAAAACGACCGCTAGGCAAACCGGTAACCGATTGGTGCGGATGTGTAGGGGGCATGCAGTTGCCTGAAACAGGAAACTCAGGAAAATTCGAGGAGCACCGAAACCTGAATAATGTACACTTCATGCGTTCAATAGCTTTTTTTCTTACTTTCAAACTTTCAATTACTGATGAGAACGAATAGTAAAAGGGTATACCCACTACTTTGTACTTCTGCAAGCGGGTTGCGTGGTAATTCAAAGGGAAGCGTTCATCGGTAGGCTTTTCGGTGCAGGTAATGGAAACAGAATTTGTTCTTCTACTGAGCGGTTCATATTGCTATGTATTTATCGACTGCACTTTGTATCTATATCTTTAGATCTATGTATTGTATGGGCGCTTATTACGCCTACCGCAAATATAAGCGTGTGGTAAGGGGTGCAGGATCGCTCTGAATACAGGGGGGGCAAAAAAAAGTCATTTTGCCTCCATGACTTTCAAGGCGCTATAAGTTACACTTTATTAAATTTTTATCGGACATTTTTACTACCATATTAAAGAGCACATTAAATACTATAATGATACTCCGCCACAGCCTTCTGGAGGAGCGCCATCGAGAGATTCGGCCGCGCGAAAGTGAGTGGGTACCGGAGTTGAGCGAGATCGTTGATTTCTCCGCCACTGTAGACCACCCTGTTGAGCTCCGTGGGTGATTCCATTCAAGAAGTTCCGCAGCTGTTTGGAGGCCACGTGAATTCCAAAGGCGTTCTCCACTCAGGCCGCGACTGGAGATGACTTCATATTTTGGTGTACATGAAGGTGAATGGCGGCAGCCGGCTCCTGCTTATAGAGGAAGATCTTGGGTATCTTCCGCCCTGGTACTCATATCCACTTCCTCTGTCTGGGCTGCGAAAACTTCGCTCATATGTGACTCGGCCGGAATGACTTTTTTGGTTCCCTGTATATGATATTGTCCTCCACGGCGCCGTATGAGTAGCTCAGTAATTGAAAGAGATCCGTTTTCATTATGGCGAAGCTGGGCCAGCGCGGCGAAGCCGAAATAAAGAGAAGGAGGAGAGCTCGGCTTCAGCCGGGCGATCCTACTGGTTTCACTTAATTATACGTCTGTTGATATCCGTATCTTGCCGAGAGAGGTCAGCCTTTGCCACTCCTCTGTCATTTCGCAATCTGTGCATGACGCTGTGACCTCACTTGTCTTGGTTCTCTCGCCATTTTTTTGTGCGCTTATTTCTTTTCGCCCTATATCCGTACAGTTTCGTTTGCTTTTTCTCTACCTGTAACAGAATGTTTGTGCATCCGTGTTTCAGTCGCGTACTGTGCCTCTAAACGATTTTCCAACCCATGATAAGTGATAAGCTTAGTTGACTTGGCAGAACGATGCACTGCATTGTAATCTCATGCAGTGCTGACAGCGAGCGGCATGGAATTAAATGTTCATGGTGATTTCATATACAACGTCCATGTGTACCACAATCATAATAAGGAACCGGAGTGCTAGAAACTGTTGCATTTCTTTGGGAATTGTGACATCTTTTGTGTTACATTCGTGTTTCGCATCGACTCGAACACTTCACCTATAAAGTTGGAATACAAAAATAAATAGAGTTTTCGAAGAAATTAACGTAATTTTGCAGAAGATTCAATCGTAGCTTTTATGTCAACATTCACTGTACGCTACTTTTCAAAAGAGAATTGAAGAGTTGGTTAGAGATCTTTCCCAGATGGCATAGTCATCCAGAGGAATTTTCTTTATGACAACAAAAAAAGTTCATGTCCTTTGGAGATCTGATTTCTACGTCAATAATCACATGTATTGTTTGTCACCATTTCTATGATTTTCCAAGATCTGCCTTCCACATTCGAGTGAGTTGGTCGAAGTACAAACTCGAGGCGCCGCGATGTTCGTTGATTGTTCGACTGGCATAGACCGTTCCAACTTTAACACCTTTCGGTGACCAACAACGAAAGCGGACAAGGCCAAGAGACGCAGCAAATAACGCTGTGATTATGTCGAGGCATCTGAAAACTTCTACTCGGAAAGATAATAAAAGTGGGGAGCAGCTTCAAAATAACCAAGAGCATTTTCCCAAATAGCTAACTCACATGGCAACACATACGTCCATGAGCGCATGGCAGATCTGCTCACACAGCAGACAATTCACTAACACTGTCTGAGGAATAATAAATGACAGACATGCGCCCACAGCGCTTATAGCCCACATTAACGATAGCTGCATTAATACCTGAAACTGATGATCTAGATGAATTCTTCCGTGCCTTAGAAAGCGAAAGCACATTGGTATCAGTTATTCGAAGATGATTCTTCTACAATATAGCCGTCGGAGAGTCTTCAAAATGATTTGTTATCAAAACTGGTATCACTTTTTCATTTCAAAGCAATGGTTAAGGACACCATCTCATAGCTGATGTTTTCCGCTGGTTGGTTGCCTGCAACCCAGCATTCTTGTGACAACACTCGGATGCCGAAGTGCGGTGCAAAATTAGCAATCATTGGAGGAAAGCATTTCGATATCGCCTAATGTTAGCTGGACTGTAGAGCTACTGGTAGAAAAGTTCTAGCGAAGGCTGAATATTTTTAACGGAGGAGGCTCAATTTGCAAAACGGCGCTGTTACTGTGACAGTCACCCTGGCTTTCTCTACTTTGTTTTTCTCTTGCCTTGCCGCGTCTTTCCATAGCCTCGGAATGGATATACACGCTACCTTCCCATTGTATTAAGTGAGAGTGCGGAGACGGGTGGACACAATATGATTTAGCACTCGCTATGATGTCTCCGAGCTACTTTTGCCGCCAGATTTGCGCCTAAAGGCAGCGCCCGTGTTCATCTGTTGTTTCCATACCCTCTTTGGATATCGTAGCTCACCCCATGAGGATGGTGGACGTACTAGTTTCGCAACTCAAAAATGCGAGAGAATAGCGGCGCCCGCTCGTGAAGAGTCGGCCACCCCGCCCACCTGGCGACCACTACGCCCAACTTCATTTCTAATGGTTGCCTGATGGTGCGGTTGTTCCGCTCTAACTCTCTCCACTTCGAATGGTGAGAGTGAGGTGATAAGGGAAAACAGCTGATACCAACAAGTGAGAACTCGTGCGGCCGCGCCTTCTCTTCGCCTTAAGCACGTACAATCTCATCTCGGCGTGGGGTCCTATATAAGGCATATCCAACGATTTCTTTGCATTTTTACTAATGAACTACTTGGTGCCTTGTTGTAATTGTCTAAGCCCCACAACTGATCAAATTGAATGCGGGCGCTGCCTTTAACTCGGCATACTGGTGACACAACACTATCAGCTTCAGGAAGTGAAGAGAAGGACAACAGGGACGAGGAAATGCTCTAAGTTTTTACACTAATGTACCATTGTACTGGCTCCACAGAGCCTGATCAGCAGCGTTACCAGCTGTAGACTTGGAGGCTGAGATCAGAATAATTGAACTGTATCTCCTTGACTTGTTCAGTCTGGTTTTCCGCAAGTGTCAGACAAAGGTGCCACTTCTTATAAAACTCACACTTCGTTTCTGACTATGCCTTGTGCTTGGGAAGGGTAGATAAACTAACCTTCATCACTCTGAGATTTTCTTTCAATTGGAACTTCGTACTGAGACTGTAAAGAACATTTTTTCGAGGCACATTACGAAGCATTTCTCGTACTTTAACGAAATCTCGACGGAAAAGGACTGTGTACGTTGAGCAGTAGGTAATAAAAAGTGCGATGAAAGATATGGAGAGAATAACTACATCGACGAATCCTGGAATAAAAAATTAGACCCTTCACGCGACCTCATCTACCTGTCAATTTCGCTCAACTATCCACTTGAATAACTGTCACAATATAAGTCTTAGCGAGAATTTGTTACAAATATGATGGTTGATAGCGGATAGCTAGCCGCACGTGAAGGAAGGGAGCTCCTTCAAAAGCACCCTCACGAATCACACTCAGCCTTCTATAATCATGCCATGATCTGATCGAGTGTCGGACACATCTCCATTGGGGAGGGAAAATTTGGACCCGGACATCAGCTTGAAAACGAGATCAGCGACTTGCCCGCGCTGCATTCGCCATGATTCACTAAAAGTGGAATCGAGACTTTGTAAGCAGAGGTGGGAATCGGTGATTTCATTGATTGCTGACTCAAAGCCTCGCCTACTGGATGAAAGTTTTTTACTTTTGTGTAACATCTCAATGGCTCTGTGAGAAACTTATTGGTCACTCTTATGCGGCTCATCTAAATGTAAGCTATTTTTCTTTGTAACTTATGCTTCTAAATAATTGTTGCTGGGGGGAAAACCCTAAAAGGATCTTTCCAAATGGCATGAAAAGGATGGTGCTAGGGCAGAGTGACATCACGCTGACCTTACGTAGTTAATGTGAAAGGCAAAAACGGGGCAATTGTCAGTCATGAGAGAAAGCACAACAAGGGATCAGACATTTGCAGCCGTCTCAGTGAATGTGGTGTAGTTATAAAGCGACCACACCTATCACTTGACCGAGGGCGAGGATCGCCGATATAATGTAGGTGAAAACAAGAATAGTTCTGTGGATCCATTTTCGAGGATACTTTTCATAGTCATTTATATATCTTGAGGCGAACGAGCGTTCAACAAAGACAGATGGCATATAGAATCCCATTATATTGAAGCACCACAAACGAATAAAACATGCCGTAGCTATTAAGACAGAGTTAAGCGTTCCTGAACGGTTGTCATTATGTGTTGGGAATTAACGTACGCAGTAATAGCGACGTTCCTGTCGCTAAGCCACCACAAGCCCACGTACTCTAGACATATGTATGCAGCAGACCACAAAAAGTGACACCTATGTACTCAAGTTGCTACCGATTGCCGGTTGACCCTCATTTACCTGTTTTGAAAACCGAGTCCACCTGTAAAGGAAAATGAAAGGTTACTTTTTCCCTTTCAATTGGAAACCCTCACGCACATCCAGCGATAATCATGTATCTCACCTAAGTCTACAAGGGTACTCTCCTCATCATTACGGACTGTCGGGGCGTGTCAGCCAGTAGGAGTGCGCACACTGTTTGAAGCCGTTCTCAGCCTTTTCGTTGAAACGCGTATGCGACAAAAAGTGGTAGAAAACGAGTAATACGAAGGATATAATACAGTAATGTCACTTCCTGGTTCAACGATTGGTGCAGAACGGGCGCGGACGACCGCGCCAAACGCAGCCGCACTGACCCGCCCCGACAGTCCGTAATGATGAGGAGAGTACTCTGTTTCAGGTCAGTGTGTAGGGCATAAATGAGTCTGAAGGTGACTCTGTGAATAAACCTAGGCTCCCGATTTCATTCTCGTAGACGTACAAATGTTGAAGCAGCTACGGTCAGCTAGATGGGAAGTGATAGAAATTCATAATGATTTGAGTAGCGTAAAACGAGAAAAAAAGCGCTATCGATAGCTTCCATCAAAGCAGCCCTTTGGTGAGCACAACGTGGAAAGGAAGTTACCACTGCGATGGAGTTTATTGTTGCGTTATATTCTTAAAATTCGGCAGGATTCAGTAATTGCAATCGTTACCTTCAATCTTCAGAAGCCCAACGTCATTGAGGAACAGCACAACACGTGCTAGAATGCTCGGATAGAAGCTGATCAATAAGGCCTGCAAAACTGACTAAGTAAGTGAACTCAGTCTCGCTAGAAAGAATATTTCGTTACCAGAAAATCTATAGCGACGCATTATAAGAAACCAGTCGCCTCGCCGGCTGACGCCGGCGCGGCTCCTTCTGATACGGCCCGGCTGCGCCGGGCGGGCGCGGCTTCGCCGCGCGTACCTTCTTTCACATATTTCTAGACTCAACTGATATCCGCCTTTTGTTCTGTACTCCACTTTTCTCCGGTGTCTGAAGTACTCTTGAGCTGTTTTACAGATTCTTCGTCTGACTCCGCCCACCTCAGAGCAGACCCCGCCCACAATTTTTGTGCCCCGCACTCTTCACAGGCGACCCCCTGCTGACCTTAATCCACTTTTTTCCGGTGTCTGAAGTGTTCTGGAACCGTTCTGCAGAGTTTTTGTCTGGCTCCGCCCACCTCGAAGCAGGCTCCGCCCCCAATTTTTGTGCCCCACAATCCTCACCGGCGAACCTTTGCCGACCTTGACGCACGTTTTTCCGGTCTTTGCAGTGCTCTGGAACCGAGCTACAAACTTTTAGAGTATCCTGCGGTTTAGGGCAAGCTCCGCCCACTGTGGGCGGAGCTCAACACATTTTGAGCATGCCCAATACTCGCCAGATATTTACATTCTGCACTGAGCTTTTTGCGGCTTCTGAACACTCTCGCGAACCGAGTTACTGAGTTTTATGCGAAGCACCGCCCACCTTGAGTACGCCCCGCCCATTTTGGATGTGTCTGCCACAGTTAGTCTGGCGACTCCTTACTAACCTTATTCCCTTTTTTCACCATCTTAGGCTGCTCCGGAAGCGAATTATGAACATTTTTCTGTGAAACCCCAAAATTTCAGCGAGTGCCCCGCCCACTGTGGGCGGGGCTTCGCATAGGTCAAGTGTGCTTTTTATTTCTTGTCCCATGCCTACCCATCCCCACCTTGACCCGACCTCTAAGTCGTTCTTCAGGTCGAACCGAATTTCCGGACAGACAAACAAACAAACAAACAAGCAGACGAAGCGAATTAGTACATGTATGGGGTTATCGTGCAAGGAACAACCAGCTGTTTCACACGAGCTCTTTAACCCAGCGACAGGCTTAGAATAGCATCGATATCTAACAGCTCGATGAGTTATGCTGATCGTGCACTTTCTGGCGGATGAAAGCGTGTGTATTATATTACTCGTATCATTGCCCGGTATGTGGACAGGAGTTCATAGAAATAACTTAAAGAATTGAGGAGATTCTGACCCTACGACATTTGCCATTTCAGGCAAAGAAAGTGAGGGTGTGCTGACTATCCCGTGCAGCGTCACACTATCTGATCTGGTCCTTGCCATGTGTGGGGTGAATAGGTCTGTGAGCAGCAGGAGGCTTTTTCCCTGGTAAAAAGTACACGAGATCGGGGCTGAAAGGCTGTGAGCCTGACCGCCATCTCCAACTCCGCCGGCGCTGCCCAAATGGACAACCGCAACCAAACGCGCCACTTGTTTGTGCCCTTGAAGTTCTATTTGGTCCCTATCGCTGATTGCGTGTTTCGCCTAAGGACCTTCGCTACTGACACCGTGCTGCACCTTGAGGATAGCGCAGGCGGAGTATGGAGCCATTGCTCGGGTGTTGCTACAATCCTCATCATTACGGACTGTCGGGGCGTGTCAGTGCGGCTGCGTTTGGCGCGGTGCCAAAGTCGTTCTGCACCAGTTGTTGAAGCGGGCAAGTGACATTACTGTATTATATCCTTCGTATTACTCGTTTTCTACCACTTTTTGTCGCATACGCGTTTCAACAAAAAGGCTGAGAACGGCTTCAACAGTGTGCGCACTCCTACTGGCTGACACGCCCCGACAGTCCGTAATGATGAGGACAGTACCTCGCAGTTCCGCTCTCGCGCACATTTGAGCGAGGAAAGTGGCACGCTACTGCTGCGGACCCATTCGCCTCGCACATGGGGTATGACCTTGGTAGGAAGTGTGCAGTTTGTCTCGAGAGGGCCTCCCTACCTCAAGTACAGACGACGCAATGAACTTTGATCCACTTCCGAGTTCTTAAGTATTTTGACGCTGTGGGAAACAGAATTGCTGCATAATATCAACGTTTGAAATGCCTGGACCCTTGGCTCTGAGGAGCATTTTCTAACTGGTACACAATGAAGTCGAGCACTTCTTTCTGAACGTGCCAAAGAGTTTCTAAAGGTGCTGAATAGGATGAAGAGATCTCCCACTTCCACGACTCAGTTCTAGGACTTTGATTTTGTATCAATTCTTCCATTGTTTGGAAGAATCAACCACCACCGGCAGAAAACATATCAATATTTTGATGGCAACGTTTCTATTCTCTGATATGGTGAAAAATATGAAAAGGGTAAAGTAAAGACTATGTTTTGCAAGGGCTGAATTGCCCTTGCACTCACCTGAGTTATCCTCACAATATTCTTGTGGAATAGTGAAGTTTTGTTGAAAGCGCGTATCAAACTTGGGAGATATATAAAAGAATAACAGGTGGCGAAGAGTTCCACCATAAATAGATACCAAACTGATGGAAATGGAAGCTGTGTTGAACTGACAAGGCTCAGCTTGAAGCTGTAGCCTCCTATGGTCACTGTTAGCATCGCTCTCTGAAAGAAAAGGTAAGCGAAAATGTAATCGAATAGGATGAAGCCACAATTTCTATGCAACCTCCTGTAGGGTTTCACGAAATGTGCAAACGGACTGTACAATAGGAAAGTGAAGCCGTTGGAGAAGCTCCACAAAAAATCCGCTACTTCTCGCGGACGATTTTTTTTGAGCTTACAATGGAACAACAGTGATTGGATGAGAGGACACGCAACGGAGGGCGAATAATGGTGCACACGAAAGAGATTGCTGCGCTCTAAGCGGATTTGAGGTGGGCATCTCCTTCTATGCGGCTGCACACTTTTTGACAGCACAGTGAAAACACCGGCACGAGAAGAAACGGAATCAGATGATATGAGAAGGATGACGATTTTTCCGAGGAGGGCCGCTCAAGAGGGAAAGGGAACAGCGAGACAACTATCTCATTGTCGTGCAGTGGATGACTACTTCAACCTGCGGCCAGGTTAGTAGCTCCTGTTGCAGGTGATTGCGTATGATCCGTAGTTCACAACACACGTG